ATAATGAGGAAAAATTTGGAGTATGAGAGAAAGCTAGCTAGAAATATTAAAAAAAAGTAACAGATTCTATAGATATTTTTAAGAGAAAATAATTAACACTATTGTGATTTGGGATTCTATCATTATTCCTTCATTGCTGGGTTAAAATCTGGAACTGTTTTCCTTACAGCATTGTGAATGTCCTAATACTCCAAAGGCTTGGATGGAGATAAATTTGATAAGTGTGTTCAGGAAGAATGTCTCATGCAGTACATAGATGGCCCTACTAGAGAAGGGACAAAACTTGACCTCCTCTTGGGAAATAATGAAGGACAAGTGACTGAAGTGTTAGTATGGGAGCATTTTGGGTACCAGTGACCATAATTGCATTAGTTTTAAAATAGCTATGGAAAAGGATGGATGTGATCCACAAGTTTAAGTTCTAAATTGGGACAAAACCAGTTTTGATAATCACAGACAGGAACTTTCAAAAATTGATTAGGGGAGGCTGTTTGCAGGCAAATAGACGCCTGGTAAGGGGAAAGCTTTCAAAAATGAGTTAATGAGGGTTCAGGGCCAGCATGTTCCTGTTAGAGTGAATTGTAGGGCTGGCAGGAGTAGGGAACCCTGCATGACTAGAGTTATTGAGGCCCTGGTCAAGAAAGTGAGGGAGGCATAAGGCATGTAAAAGCAGCTGGGATCGAGTGAATTCCTTGAGGAGTATAGAATGTGTCCGAGTACACTTGAGAGAAATCTGGAATGCTAAAAGGGGACACAAGATGGCTTTGGCAGGTAAGGTAAAGGCGAATCCAAAGAGATTCTACAAGTACATGAGCAGAAAAGAGTAACTAGGGAGAGAATAGGGCCTCTTAAAGACCAACAAGGTCATCCATGTGGTGAGCCACAAGAGATGGCTGAAATCCTAAATGAATATTTCTCATCAGTAGTTACTGTCAAGAAAGGCATGGATCCTAGGGAACTTGGGGAAATAAACAGTGATGTCTTGAAGAGAGTCCACATTACAGAAGAGGAGATGTTAGAAGTCTTAAAATGCATTAAGGTAGATAAATCCCGAGACCTGAAGTGTATCCCAGGACTTTGTGGGCAGCTAGGGAGGAAATAGCGGAGATATTTGTATCATCGGCAGCCACGGGTGAAGTGTCAGAAGATTGGAGGATGGTGAATGTTATGCCATTATTTAAGTAAGACTGCAGGGAAATGCCTCGGAATTACAGACCAGAGAGCCTAACATCTGTGGTAGCTAAGTTGGTGGAGGGGATTCTGAGAGACAGAATCTTTAGGGGTTTGGAAAGGCAAGGACTCATTTGGGATAGTCAGCATGGCTTTGTGCATGGGAAATCGTGTCTTATTAATATGATTAAGTTTGAAGGGGTGACCAAGAAAGTAGACCAGGACAGTGCAATGGACTTTAGCAAGGCCTTTGACAAGGTACTGCATGGTGGGTTGTTGAGTAAAATTAATTCTCATGGGATCCAGGAAGAGCTGGCCAACTGAATACAAAATTGGCTTGAAGGTGCTAGTAGAGGGTTATTTTTCAACTGCAGGCCTATGCCACAGTGATTGGTGCTGGTTCCACTATTGTTTGTCATCTATGTAAAGGATTTGGATGAGACTTTAGGAGGTATGGTAGCAAGTTTGTGGATGACACCAAGGTTGGTGGTATAGTGGACAGTGAAGAAGGTTATTTGCATTTTGGTAAGTCAAACCGGGGCAGGACTTACACAGTCAATGGTAGGGCCCTGGGGTGTGGTATAGAACAAACAGATCTAGAGGTACAGGTTGCTGTTTGAAAGTGGAGTCACAAGTACACAGGGTGGTGAAGGCAGCTTTTAGCATGCGTGCTTTCATCCGTCAGAGCACTGAGTATAGGAGTTGGGACTTCTTGTTGCAGCTGTACAATACATTGGTAAGGACACATTTGGAGTATTGCATGCAGTTCTGGTTGCCCTACTACAGAAAGGATATTATTAAATTAGAAAAAGTGCAGAAAAGATTTA